ACTCGAAAACTGCCTTGAGATTACCCGAAAACCTCACGGCCTTGTTCGCAGCTGGCCCTGCAATCTATAGTACTTGAGTCTGTCCCATCCCACGAATATGACTTTAATTAGCGCCAGAAAATGGTTGTATCTTCAAAAACAGATAAAGAGCATGAGAACCCGTCGTTATAAAGCCACAAGAGAAATCGAAGGAATAAAGCTGTTGATGACAAGTGAAGACCGACGATCTTATACACCTCTACGGGCTCTCTCCTTCAATCGCCGTACTTCGTTCTCCACGCCGTTCTCGCCCATCATCCGATCAAATATATCGTCGGTGATTATAGCGTCCTCCGATACTGCTGAAACATTTTATTTTACTTTTGGCCACTACCGAACCCTCGTAGCAAGTAGGTACGATAGCTCGCAGGTTGCCGTCAGCCTCATTGGTGGAAGGGGTAAACGGCTGAAACGCTATCTCGCAGTCCTTCCACCAATGACGCTGGCAACAACCGCCCGCCTCCAGCCATCGGCTCACTTCCTTCAACATAAACAATACTGAATGTGTAATAACAAGTCAAAAAGGTGTAGCACCGAAATATTGCAAGATATCTTTCGAAAAACTTTCGAGACTTTTGGTGTCTTTTGAGTTTTTTGGAATAAACTTTTGGAGTTTCACATTGTTATTACACATTCAGATAAGAAATGACACTCCGGACAGCACAATACTCCGATAAACAATACTGTTGGGAAAAGAACTCACACTCCTCTCCGATACGGAACAAAACCATGCGATTGTTGCTTCGATCGCATGCCATAAGCATTCCAAATGGCGATACACCAAATGCCGAACAATATGGAAAGTTAGCCCCATTGGCAAATCGAGCGCACTTCAACATCTGGCCAGAGGTCGTGAGCAACTGAAAACAATCATTCGCGAAAGAAAATAACATAGCTGACAAAAATCGCAACACCTTACCTTCAGAGTATGGGTTTTCGCATCGGCAACCAGTAGATGTCCAGAATCGTCGCACCGTATACCACTCATGTAGACAAATCTGAAGCGTAAATCTGTATAAAACATGTAATACCACAGAATCGTAGATAGGAAAAGGCGCTGTTTTTTTTCTATCTACGATTCTGGCAGATAGAGGGGGGGGGGCATTTTGTACTAACATTGCTTCCCTAGTTCCGGTTTACGAATCTCACCATGGTAAAACTTGTGAACGCCTGTGAAGCTGGAGTAAGATCGTCTAGCCACCATCCTAAAACGTGTCAACTCGAGAAAAGGCTACCTAGATGGGTCGGCACATCTATGAAAAGCCGAATGCCCCGGTCGACAAACTGCGCCGAAAAAATATAGTCAATCAAGCCATCCGTGGACAACTTCGCGCCGATGCTGGTGTCCTGCCAGTATGGATTGATCAGTTACATCAACGAAGAAGTTCAGTGATTTGGACGAGTTGTATTGGGCAGGCGATGAGGGAAGAGACGGGATGGAGGTGAAAATTACCATTAGTTCCCCCTAATAGTTTTACGGCCGCAGCCAGCTGTGACATACAACGGACCACCAATATTGGCTGTGAATCGAAAATATCCGGAAGCAAAAACTCGAGAAACAGAATAAAAGTAATTTGACACAAGTGAAAGGAAGCACACCGACAAAAGCTGCTACTTCTACATCCACGGACTGCTGGTCCGGAAAGCAACAGTCCAATCACATTATGCTTTAGAGGCTCACTAAGTGTCGCAATCCGGCTCGCAATTATGATAGTACTAACAGCAACACCAGTTAGCCTTCGCAATCTTTTTATTCGCTCAATACCCGGATGTAAGCCCGGATGCGGCACATTTGTAGTGCGGCATGAAAGGCGAACCTGCTTGTATATCCGTCTAGCTGACTCGACATAGAACTCTAGCGTCAAATCTATAACCGGCTAAAGCAGCTAGGACACGTACTTTGAGGATCTATGAAGGAGCTTGGTGAAGGAGTCATGTAGAAGCCATCCAAACAGGCTTGTTGGGGTAGGCGGTGAAGCAGCAGGAACGTGTGGGGACTGGGAGACAGGGCTCGTTGTAGTAGTAACTTGGAAGCATGCTCGAGCAACGTGTGCAGGTGTTGTTCTTATCCACCTACATAAATATCTTTTCAGTTGACCTTTGAACTGATTGTGAGCTCAGCAAGATCAACAGAGAGAGGCTGTAAGAGACATATATACCATTTTCACTTTAAATTCACCACTTTTCAAACCAAATTCACCACTTTTCAAACCAAATTCACCCGTTTTCAAACCAAATTCACCACTTTTCAAAGCAAACACTCTTTTTAAACCGGGCAGTTTGCCAACAAGACCACGCAAGACACCACTGCGAGCCCTCCCCGACGGTCACGCCTACTTGTCAGCGCGGACATAGATTTTCAACACATGGGCCGACTCCGCCCATTCTTTAAAGGGTTTGTTGCGAACTTCGAAATTTCATAACTTTTCAACTTTTTAATTTCACATCCACTCTTTGCACAACGAAGATACTCGTAACCGCGCATTCATGCTCCGGCAATTCAGGCTCCGCCCCTTTGGCCACGCCCACTTGCTTTGCGGAATTTTGATATTTTTTCAAAATTTTTGCATTTTTGGACTGCTCCATGAAGCCCCGCCCACTGTGAGAGGCTCCGCCCACTTTTCAAAAATGGTGCAGATCGGCAGTATAGAGCCTTGGCTTGCATGCTAGGGTCTCGTCCGTCACTCGGAACAAATAAATCAGGCAAAGTTTGTTCCTAATGACCAGCAATACCCTAGCCATGCAAGCCAAGGCTCTATACTGCCGATTTGCACCATTTTTGAAAAGTGGGCGGGGCTTATTCAAGTGGGCGGAGCCTCTCACAGTGGGCGGGGCTTCACGCAGCTGTAAATATGATTTTCTATTACTTCTGCGTCAACGAGGTTTTTAGGTGGAACTTTATTCACTGCTTCACACAGCAGTCCAAAAATGCAACAATTTTGAAAAAAAAATATCAAAACTCCGCAAAAAGCAGGTGGACGTAGCCAAGGGTGCGGAGCCTTAACTGCCAAACCCTTAAGGGTCCTCCATGTGTCAATGCCCAGTCGTTTTCAGTCAAAGTGGGAAACAGCAAAAGATAAGAAAAGTCACATAAGCAGAAGTTATGAAACAAGATTTGAAAATCTATGTCCGCGCTGACAAGTAGGCGTGGCCGTCGGGGCGGGGCTCGCAGTGGTGTCTGGCGTGATCTGGTTGATGAGTTGCCCGGCCTAATAAGTGTGGTTAATTTGATTTGGAAAGTGGTGGTGAGATTTGAAAAGTGGTGAATTTGGTTTGAAGGGATGTGAATTTGTTTTGAAAAGGGGTGAATTTGTTTTGAAACGGGATGAATTCAAAGTGAAAATGGTATAAAATGTGACGCCAGGCCAAAATGTTAAGTCGAGTCAGCTAGTTAGCAAAGCTAGTTTTCAGTGCAATGTCGCCGCACTGATCCCCGTAATGCACGCACAATATCCAATTTTACCGTTTCAAAAAGGATTGAAAGGCCAGGTGCTCTTCAGGGGACTGATTGATGTTGTACACTTTACTAACGCAATTAGACTGGTAGCATCCCCTCTCCAGAACTGCAGAGGGCTGCGAGCTAGAGTAAGTCCAGCCGCCCTTTCGACTGATGTTTCATCAAAGTTCTGCCATTAAGTTCGTACGGTAGAAAGCCAGTAAGAGGCGAGCAGGCCCAGCAGTCGTAGGGGACTACGTCAGCAAGAATATTATGAGCGGGGACTGGTCTTCCAGCCTTGCTCCTCAATTATTTGGTAGGTCTTCATAGCAGGTATGGGGTCTCGTGTACTACGAACGAGGTGCCCCGAAGCTAATCTCGCGTTTATTTTTTCCTCCATAACATCTTTCACTCATTGCCGCGAGCTCAGCGACGCAAATGGTGGCAATCGTCTGGCTTCTTACAGCGGCATGCTCGATCTGGCCCAGGCATCCCTCTCTCGCGCCCCAGGAGCAGCACGGGAGAGCCTTTTCGGAATACATGCCCAATTTGGACTGCTAGAATGGATCTCTTTGAGAGAGACACACGGTACTGTGTGGGTTGAAATCATAGAGGACCCATCTCTCATCCCCACTAAGCAGTCTCCCGGAAACTCCTTCTGACGAGGGCAGAGAAGGGGAGACTGATCAAGGGGTACCCGGGTGCACAGCGTGCCATCGGTCAAGGTATGAGTGATCCATCGAGCCAGTACTTTTTGGTAGTCAGGGGCTTACAGGCGGTGGACGACTGTCAGTTAGGTACATCCGAGTCTTGTCGCAAGACTGGGTGGTGGTAACCTACGGATCCTCCTTGTTCTCTTCAGTAAATGGATGGCGAAGGTCTTATTATTCTTGGGGGCCGTCCCAACCAAGGTTTGTTCTTCGAGGATCGAGTCTCTTTTCGCGAAGCGAGCGAACTAAAAGTGAACGATCCTGACGGTAGTGGTGTCCTCCCTCAATGCACTGTTGATGTTACGGACAGCTGCCGTGGCTCCAGTGCCGCGGGGCCACTGATTGTAGAGATTGATGGACCAAGAGATATCATGTGAAACTCGACAGTCGTAATTAAACGCCATGGAATGAGCAGCCAGGCTCCCTCATTACGCCGTCTTACAGGAAAGCACCCAAATGTTCCTACAAGTAATTGCATGTTCGTCAATGATACGAGCATCGAGAATCAAAAACTTTAAGCTTTTCAAAAAACATTGACAGGACTTTCCTTCCAACCTAATATTTACTTTGCAAATGAAGCAATACGAACATCTGGTATGGGCGGGTGGGCGCGGTGGGCGTCCGGGTCGGTATGTTGCAGCTTGATCGGGCCTCATAAGGGAGCCTCCCTCGGAAAGGCCCTACAAGCGCCTGCTCAAGGGCACGAATTCCATCCTGCCGGGCGTATTAATCCTACCCGTTTAAGGGACTTATCGTGCCAACTGCCTCAAGCAGGAAATCCAACCAGTGGTAGGAAACGCCAGGATGGGCTGATTACATCCCTCTTGACCCTCTTGAAACTAGCCGATTGCGACGGTATAAACTGTACTTATTAGGAAATTCTCTACACTACACCTATTTGCAACAGGAGATGTCATCTCGTGCTGTCGTTGCTGGTGATCTCCGATGGAACTCTGACTCTCACCATTATGTCAACGTTTGGCCTAAAGCAAACACATAAAAACTGTTCGAAATTGCAAAATCAAACTGATTCTTCCTTGAACACGGGGCAAGAAAAAAATCTTACGGACATGAGTGATTCCTACGGACCGTATAGTCTGGTTTATGATTTTTGTTCCATTTGGCACAGCATTATGAAACATATTTTTGTGTCGGGACCACTGAACAGTTAGCCTCTGCACTAATTTCTGAACAGTCTAGGTCTCGGAGAATATGTGAACATTCAAATTTCCCGAACAAATGACTTCACATCAAACTATTTTCCAGCAATGACCACGGAGCCTAGCGCTACCGTAATCTCAGCGAACACTACCGTAAGGTGTAGGAGATTCATTAATTCATTCACATATAGTTAATAAAACAGAATTGAATATGAACAATTGTTCACAATATAAATGCTAACTTCAACATAAAACATGCAAAAAAATTCCTACTGGAAAAGGTCTACGGGTCTAGTTAATAGACATGGTTAATTGGGCCTAAAGAAAATAATATGCATTTTCAGATATCATTTCAAGTGAACTTTATAAAGAACAAAGTAATCACATTGCAGGTATTTCATTGCACAGTAAGTTTAAAGTGGGATTTCAGATCGATAAACCGAGAACTTCATGAAGATTCTTTTACAAGTACGCTTTTTAGTAAGGCACTCATGGCACATTGGCACATTAATATGAAGCATACAACCATCTCTGGACACAGAATGGGTGCAGTTCGGTTACGGAGGAGGATGAGGGGTGAAATTTTGCAATTCCGCTACTTCCCATCCGTATTCATTGTTTCCAAACGTTGGCCTCTGCAAAAATTTGACTGGTATCATTTCGTGGCTTCACAAGATTTCGCAGATCTCTACTTGATAAATCGACAGGACGATGGGAAGTGGCGGGAGTGCAATATGCCCCCATAAGCCGAACTGTGCCATCAAACGCGGTGACTCGAGCGCTTGACTGAGTCCGATCGCGCTCCATCGCGAACTTTTGGACCGCTGCAACGGATGGCAGAAGTTCCAATCAAATACGATTGGATTTGTAGTGGCGGGGCCAATAATTAGCGGCAGAGCGCGGTCCGTCATAGTCTCGCGATTTTGGAGCGCTCAAGTCGCGAAGTATAAAAGCAGCCTTACTGGAACACGGCCAAGAACAGTGGTAATAGCCGTAAAAGTAGACAACTTATGAAATATTATGCTGCAACCCTCCAAAATTTTAACTCAAAAACTGGCTTCAGATTACACAAAACCTCGCGGCCTTGTTCGCAGCTGGCCCTGCAATCTATAGTACTTCAGTCCCATCCCACGAATATGACTTTAATTAGCGCCAGAAAATGGCTGTATCTTCAAAAACAGATAAAGAGCATGAGAACCCGTCGCTATAAAGCCACAACAGAAAACGAAGGAATAAAGCTGTTGATGACAAGTGAAGACCGACGATCTTATACACCTCTACGGGCTCTCTCCTTCAATCGCCGTACTTCGTTCTCCACGCCGTTCTCGCCCATCATCCGATCAAATATATCGTCGGTGATTATAGCGTCCTCCGATACTGCTGAAATATTTTATTTTACTTTTGGTCAACTACCGAGCCCTCTTAGCAGTAGGGTACGATAGCTCGAGGTTGCGTCAGGCTTCATGTGGTGGAAGGGGTAAACGGCTAACGCCTAGTCTCGCATCCTTCCACAATGGACGTGGCCAACAACCGCGCCTCCAGCATTCGCGACTCACTTCCTTCAAAATAAACAATACTGAATGGAATAACGAACTTGTATACAACAAAAAAGGTTAGCCACCGCAAACATTGCAAGATTGATTTCTTCTCGAAAAACGTTCGAGGATTCTGGTGTCTTTGAGTTTTTTGGAATAAACTTTTGGAGTTTCACATTGCTATTACACATTCAGATAAGGAATTGACTCTCCGGACAGCACAATACTCCGATAAACAATACTGCTGGGAAAAGAACTCACACTCCTCTCCGATACGGAACAAAACCATGCGATTGTTGCTTCGATCGCATGCCATAAGCATTCCAAATGGCGATACACCAAATGCCGAACAATATGGAAAGTTAGCCCCATTGGCAAATCGAGCGCACTTCAACATCTGGCCAGAGGTCGTGAGCAACTGAAAACAATCATTCGCGAAAGAAAATAACATAGCTGACAAAAATCGCAACACCTTACCTTCAGAGTATGGGTTTTCGCATCGGCAACCAGTAGATGTCCAGAATCGTCGCACCGTATACCACTCATGTAGACAAATCTGAAGCGTAAATCTGTATAAAAACATGTAAATTACACAGTAAGCGTATGGTAGGTGCAGCACTGGCTAACTATGACGAGTATATTGACTAATTCCCACTGTATATTGAGTTAGAAAATAAAAAAGAAAAAAGTCACAACAGTGACAAGACTTTCCTTCCAACCTATTATGAAGCGGAGGGACTGATAGAAACGGCTATGGTGCTGCATGGATATATGAGTAAAACATGGATCGTAGCGGTCATTGGCACGATGCTTCCAAAGATTCAAAAAGCAGTCTCGTCCGAAACTGCTTTTTGAATCTTTGGAAAAGAAGGCTTTTCTCCGCAGGTTCGAACGTTTCACTTCGTTTTTCGCCATTTTCCCCCACTATATAGCACCCTGCTAGCATTTTAGACCGAGTACCAAATTATCGTGCCAACTGCCTTTAATCGATCACTGACCGGTCATCATTGCTAGAGCAAGGCAGTGGATGCGGACTTCTTCCCCCCCCTAATTCTGTTGCGCCAACAAGGCTCGTACGAAAATCACGGGTATGTGACAAGACAACCGGGCCATGCCGCCGTGGGAGTGGTGAGCGGTCTGCGCACGCGAGGGACTACCTGTCATGCCAGGCCGTTTAAATTTGAATGTTGATGAGACGAGAAAGATCTAAATGGTTAGGCATGGAGTTTTGTCCTCGCCTGAATTCCCACGGCTTTCGCTGCTCCAGTCGGCAAAGTGATACGCATCGAAAAATTGTCGCGCGTCCCACTTAACGCGCCGCGCGCGACGGAGCAATGAAATACGATTGTCTTGTCCGTCTTCCGGGAATCTTTGGGGCTTTGGAATACATCGTCTTCTTCAAACGTCTTGTACGTCTGAACGCGGCTGAAAACTGTAGGGCTGATCTTTTGTACACAGAAAGTACCTCTACTCTCGAATCGCGGTAACGCGGGAATAAGGGTTGCGGGGCCTTCGCGCCAGGGCTCTGCGCTATGTCAGGTCAACTAGCTAGGAAACACTGTACTAGTCTGCGCGACGCAAGGCTAAAGGTAATACTCACGCTGTCGACGTTCTTTATAGGCGTCACGGATAACGCAGTTCAAAAAGAGTGGGTCCAGTTCAAGTGGGGATCAAGGGAGATCGAGTTTTTGCCGATGTCACCATTTTTTTGTGATAACTTTTGGTCCGCGAACTTCGGCGTTAAAGAACAGTTATCTCAAGAAGCGTTATTCTCTTGGCGTTTTTCTAACGTTACTGACGGAGCTCTAGGGAATTTACCGAAATCTTTGCAAAAAGGAAATAGACTGACATAGTTCACCATCGCACGGGCAAGCTGACGCTACTCTCTATGAGTCATCATTTCATACAAGAAACTTTCGAAATGAACTTCCATTTCATAACTTCAGTTTTCCTGAACTTTGAAGATACTGATAGAGCTTGTGTCAAAACTGAATTGCTCTGAAAGGAGACCTTGGAAACTACGAGCTGAGAGCGTATTTCGAATCCACTGAATGTATATGGTGGTTCTTCGTCTCGAAGATCAAGAAAGTAGCACTCTTAAATTCAACTACGTTTTCTGCGGCAGTGTGGTTCTTCCTTTAGGGTAACACAGTGTGCAGTGATAGTGAAATGCCAAGACTTGGGTTGAAAATCTCGACGTTGAGCGTACGGTCCCATACTGGTCAAGTTTTCAGGTAAGCAGTTGTTGTGCAGTAATAGTTTTACATAAAGCAGGCGGAATGGTTGGCTCTTAGCCCATTTACGACAATGTCCCATCTCCGGTGGTTAACATCCGGCGGGGACAATGACCACCATTCTCCAAACTGAGCGACTTGGTGGTGGCCAGATTTATATCTACTATTGTTGGTGGGCATCTACGTGGTCGCAAATGTGTTGAGAGTTCTGCTCTGTGTGGTCCTTGTCATTAATGCGACCGGCTTACGGTGAGTCGAGTTGAGTTGAAGCTGTCTTTT